CAAGCATTGAAACAGTGAGTACTTCATTATATTACATTATTTGAAATTGGCGGGCATTCGCTGGAACCGCGGGTGGCTCCCCCTGAGCCACGGCTCGCACTTAACGAGAGAGAAAGCATCATCTCACAGGACAAATTATTTACATTTCGTTTCTCGTCTCTACTTGTCTCTGAAGATAACCTTAAAAACCTATTCTTTGCAAACAAACATTTTCAAAGACCACAAATTATCCAGCTAGAATGAACACAGAAATCCAGACATTGGATCAAAAACCGGTATTCAAGTCCACCTCCTGGTTCCTGTCCAGACAGACTAGCAAAAAACGCACCTGGAAGGGGCTCAAGCAGATAGTGTCGTCCGAGAAGTCCCTGCCCTGGGGCGAAAACGTGGTGCATTACAGCAGCATTAATGCTCCCCCTTCGTTTTTGCCGCCTGAGAAGTTTTCCGATCTTTCCGGCCTGTCGGCGCCCTACACTGACCCCCAAACTCGACTCCGGTTTGCCAACAAGGAGGAATACACCACTATGATTGACTTGCCCATGGACATTACTGCGGGGTACCTGGCGCTCAGAGGAGCGACTAGCATTGTTGGCTAGACTCAATAGAACAAGAATTTTTAATAGCTATATAAAGCGACTTTTGCAATTGTACTTTTTATCGAGACCCCAGAGTCTTAAAAAGGCTCCTGCCGTTAATTGAAAGCCTGGAAGGTGTTAGTTAGGTTTTCTTTACCGCCAGCTCTAATGTTAATATTTTCACTGTGGTTAGTTTTTTTCGTTAAAGAAAACTTAAGAGTTTAGAGTTATTTAGGGCAGAGTTTGGGGATGGCAAAGGATAAATAATTCAGCGAATTTATCAAGAAAACTTGAAACTGTTCACTTACATTTTGCGGAAACTTCCAGAAACAAACTTGCTTTTTTATTAGGAATTTTAAATTTCTTTGAAATTGTTTTACTCTGTTAACATTGACTTATTTTCGCAAATTCTGCGGTGGCAAAAAGCATGGTTTGGATTCATTTGCGTCCTCTGCATCCGCACCTTCCGAACTTTCATCTTCATCATCCGAACGTTCATTTTCTCTGGAATCAGATGGAGCCTCATTAGAAGCTCCATCGCCAGCAACAATGCGAATATCCGCACAAGACCGAAAAATTTCCTGATTTCCACAGCCCATATTCTGAGTGCCGTCCTCACACATCCCCCAGCTGTTGCCTGAAAACACCCGGAAAAAAACTCATGCTGACAATTTATAAAAAAAATCCTCTTAACCTGTTCGATAATGCCACCTCAAGACGCATCTTTCACAAGTAAGCCCTTCAGGCAGCTTGATTTTTGTATTGAAGATGTAATCCGTTGGATGTAAAGAGTAGTGGGAAGTTCCATCTGCTAAGTAGACTGGCTGGAAGCATTCTTCTGTTTCGGGTTGTGTAGGATTTTTCAGTTCGCAGATGCTTCAATTTTCAATTACATTTTTATTGAGTTGAACCCCATTGAAGTTTCACTTACTGGAAGTAGATGCTTCCCAGGTGATTAGCTGTTAAAATGCTTTTAACAGTGAGAACAGTACCGGCTGTATAGTTGGATAAAACGACTCCATTTCCGTATACTCCTCCGTTTTCGTTGCTTCTAGGTACTGGTTCTCTCCAGTCGTCCCCACAGGGCCCGCACCGACCCCCATTTACGTAATATTGAGCCTAGAAGGTTTTTGAAAAAATCAAAATTTCCCGAAATAATTCGGCACTTACATGAACTCCCCCGCAAAAATATTCATTGTCATTGTAGTTAGGAGGTTGTTTCCAGTCGACTCTCCATAAGGAGGCTCTATTAACGGGAGTGATCATATATCCATGCCCGCTCACGTTTTTGGCAAAGTAAACTGCGAAAACTACACAAAAAAGCCCGAAAAGCTTCATTTTGCCAGTCTTTAATTCGCCTATACTTTTGCGATTTCACTACCGAAAATACACGCATTTTTCCGTATTTATGTAGACCGATATCTATAAAAGATCAGATATCTTCCTTTGTTTAAAGTGGTTTTAACGCTTTTATTTTCAGCAACTCAGACACACTTTGAAGAGCCTCAAGTGGCCCAGAGTTGAAGCTTTTGTAGTAGATTTATACGGTTTTATCCGAAAATTGTATTTTGTGCCAGTTATTTGCCGCAATTGCAATGGACCAACAAAAATTATTGACTGACAAGTTCGAGTATTGTATTTTTCAGTGGAGTTCCTAAATTGGTTTCCATGCGGTTTGATTAAATTTTCCTGCAACAATAAACGTTTGGGCTCCAGATAAAGCGGATCAGCTTGAAGATGTAATGTCGCGCTAATCAGTAGAGAATTTCAAATATTTCTGTAACCTTTGGTACTTAAATCTGCCGGCTTTTAGAGTGCGGTGTACCCTCAATGTCAATTGGAAAAACAGGCAAACAAATCACGTTACACGATTAGTTTTTCGCGTTTTCAGCCCGTACCGAATTTCTTCGTGACTTTTCGCGAGCACGAGTTGCTTGCATCTTCAAAGATGCTTTTCTTTCTTTCACGAAAGGCTCGTTTGAACAAAATCGTTCCCAAATGTATCTTTAAACTACTTGGAAACTCGTCTCAGTTGGTCAGTTTGCGTCCTTCATGTCCTTTTTCCCATGTTTTTGTCCATTATCATTCCCATATTCTTTAGGTGAACTGATCACATCGCCTGCGACATTTTCAGAAAGCTTCCATTGTAAAGCGATTGAAAACTGCGTACATTTCGAAGCAAATAGAATGATTTGGATTCGAGAATGATATAAACTGCTCAACAAATTTTTGACCAATTTTGGAACTGGATAAATTCGGATCGCTGAGACTTCTGTTTGAAGCGTCATTTAGTGCAATTTTTATTTCGGTCAGTGCGTGTTTTTGCAAAAAATTCAGATAAAGTTTCTACAGGGTGGCAAATAAACCGATGCAAAATGAGTTCAATGTCGTGAAAATCGATCCAAGAGCATAACAATTATTGCTGCAAGACCAAAAAGTTAACTTTTTGAGTTCACCCTGTAAATGAGGGAGCTGGCCGAAAAATACCAAAACCGTTTCGAGCTATTTGGTTTACGTTTAAACTTTTGGCGTTGAGATCCAGAAAACCCCGTTTTTGTCCAACTGGGAGCATGTCGAACTTTCCGCATTTTTGCATTTGCCACCCTGTAGATGAGTTATCTGATGTGCTTACTTTTTTCCAAAACATTAGCGAATAGAAAAAAATAGAAAGGTTTCAAACAGAAGCAAAATCACCTAAAACAACCAGAATTTAACGTCTTCCAAAGGCAGGCAACTTGGCTTTGTAACGTTCATTTTTTAAGCAGTTTTAAGCAAGTTTAAATTGCTTTTGCAATTCGTATATTTTTCACCAATTAAGGATCAATCACTTGATACTAAATTAAGCATACGCCCGAAAAATAAATCGTGCTGAGTTGCGCTTTTGAGTTGTTGCCGCTCTCTGAGTTAATGAGTTTTAACTCATTGGTTAATGAGTTATAAATGCCGATGACGGAATTTTAACATCTAACAAAAAAAAGCCATCAATATATTGCTTTTGCGCCTACGATTGCTTGAAACTATTTGGTCTAAAACTGGGGAAAATCCGGTAATTTTGAAGAAAGTTTAAAAAATTTCAGAGCGATGAGGGTGACGAGTTTTCCAAATTTGATTATATGATTTTGCTTTCTCTGGTCGGTTTTTGAGTCAAATCAATCGTTTTACTTTTTTGCATAAAATATTCTCAGTTTGCCAGTGTTTACAGTAAAACGTTAGGATAAACGCGTTGTTCTGTTCAGAGAGATTTAGAACTTTTGACCTAAAAGTGAAGAAACCGAAATTTAAATAAACCGAATTATTCAAAGCGACAAAAGTGACAAGTTTTCCGAATAATTGATCATAAACTTTCATTTGTTCTGTTCGGGGAAATATTATTGAGAAAAAATCTAGAAAAAATTAATAGGGTTTCGTCCAAAATTCGAAGCAGCAAAAGGTCCCAGAAAACATTTTACAAAGTTGTGGAGGAGCCGAGTGCTCCAATAAAATTTATTTTATAATTTTTTGTTAAATGTTTTAAAATTTAAGTAAAACTAAAAATAATACGTTTTTTCCGTAGCAAGAATTGCTTAAAGAGACCTGGTAAAAATGGAATGACCTGAAATTTAAAAAAAACTTGAGAATTCTTCAGAGCGATGAGGGTGGCGAATTTTCCAAATATTTTTTTGGAAACTTGCTCTGGCCGTTTTTTTAAGATAATCTTAATTGCTTTCGGTAAAAAACTGAATACAATTATTTGGGTTTTGTGCCAAATTCGAAGCTGAAAAGGGCTTTCTAATGTTCTCTGCAAATCGATGAATGAGGCGAATTTTCTAGCAATCAATTTTGTAATTTTTGAGTGCAAAGACCCCATTTGTGTCAGAAAAGAAGAAAATCACCAGAAAAGTATATTTTTGGTGTTTTTGGTTAAAAACTTTTGGTCATTGTTTTTTGCGAGAACCTTAATAGTTTTCGGGAAACACGGGATAAATTTATTTTCGTTTCTGTCCGAAATTCGACTACGAAAAAAGTTTCTACAAAGCTATAAATATGTCTTGTAATTTTTCGAGTAGATTACATCCAGATCGTCAGTATTTTTAAGTAAAACTACAAAATAGAGCGTTTTCGTGTAGAAAGAAAAGCAGAAAAAAATCAATAGAAACTAAAAAATTCCATTTTTTTTAAACAAATCCAGTCAGAGGAATGGAAGTGATGAGTTTTCCAAATCATTTATTATAAACTTTCGCTTATTCAGTTTTTTTGATTTGATTTTTGTCCCAAATTCGAAGCTGGAAAGGGGTTTCAAAACTTTTTGCAAAGCGACGAAGGTGGTGCGAGTGTTCACTGCGCGAGTGTTCTTACATAATTTATTTAATAATTATTCGCGAAAATACCTTAAGATTGATTTTTAAGTGAATTTTCTGAAAATTGAGCATTTAGAAAAAAGAGTAACTTTGCTAAAACTGAAAAATTCTGAAATTTTGAAGGAATGTTAAAATATTATTGATAAATGCCCCTTAAAATAAATCTAAAAATAAGTGAAAAAAGTCATCAACAGTTTCCCAGCAACGGAACTGGGTTACTGCGCCGGTGCGTTGGTTTAGCGCACCAAACCATTTGCGTGGCACTGCGCCAACTTCTAAAAATTCATTGAGTTACCCAGGCCTATTCAACAGTTTCAACCCAAGACCACGAAAGAGTTTTGAACAAAACTGTTTCCAAATTTACAATTAAACTGCCTGAAATGTTGCCTTAATTCGCCCGTTTGTTTCAATTTTATGCTCTTCCGCATCTTCATCATCAGACCGTCGTCTGCAGCATTATCAGAAAGCTTCAAAAGAAATTCTGGAAGCAAATAAAACGGTCCAAATTTTTTAATGTTTAAAATTCGCATGTTGTTCAGAAATTAAAGATCAGTTGGCACAAAATTAAGCATTGCTACAATTATTATTCAATCTCAAGGCGATTCTGTATGCAGCATGTCCGCGTGCAGAAGTGAAGGCGACAGTTAGTGGCGGTCACTCAGCCCCCTCCAAAGGGTTCCGGTACCAAGGAGAAAGGCCGTTCAAGAGCAGAACTTTGTAATTTATTTATATTTCTCAACCAGAACCACTTTAAACGATTTGCATTGGAAATAAGTGAATTTCTTCGGTAGCAAACAGACCAAAGTCGATTGGCTGGTACCGCTCCGAAGTGAGAGGGAAACCGAAGTCTTTGGATTTTGGCCGATTTTATGAAATTTTTAATCGAAATACATAACCGCAGTAAACTGCCACAGTTATCTGTTATTACTTACGAGCGAGGTATACCGGGTGTTCGGATACGCGAAGGCATTTTGTGCGGGTGGAGTTTTGAAAAATTGCGCTACTTTGGTGTGTTGATTTTTTCTCTGTTAAATCCGGGGTTTATTGCTGGATTTATTTCGTGGACAAGGAAATGGTAAGTTGGCTGCATTTTTTAAATCCTCGTCAATCATCTACCGAATCTTGTAATTTATGTGGATTTTCTCGCATTTTTAAAGCCCCCGGCACCTTCGTAGGCGTTTGCAACCAGTGAGCGCATTAAAATTGTAATTGCTGAAATGAAATGTCGATATAATACAATCCAGTCGATTTTTTCAATCGTGTTTCAACCGGTAATTCGTACATATAAAGGTAGACTGGATTTAGGTTACTTTGGAAAGGCGGAATATGTCTTATGCGAGTATGAAATTTAACATTTTGGTTCGGTGGCGCTTTTAATTTATTGGCCGGCGATTTTAAATTGGTTCTTGCTATTCCATTCATCATATATTCGCAATAGGGAACACATTCCTTGGGCTTTTTACTTGCTTACACCGATCATTAGGCATGTAAATTTGTTATATAAAGTCGGTAATTCTTTTCCATCCATATGGCGCAATGTAATGTCGTTTCGCAGTTTTGGTCAAGTTGGGAAAATGCGAAACGCACCGACTAACCCAGAAAAACTTACAAACAGTCGCGATTTGCCCAAAAATTGCGTTAACGTGGGGGGCTTACTGGGCTTGTCGGTTTTGTGGTCACTACCTGATTATTATACAATAACTTGTGTGTGAACAGAAGGTTTTTAGCTGCCAGGTTTCAGTTTTTCCTTGCATTCAGCATAGGAAAAAAATGGTCGATTTGTGCAAAAAACTTGATTGTTCTTTTAGATTTTCAATGTTATTTGTACGAATACAATTAACACTCTGCTCTTATTTAAATCGAGAAATCTGTTGCAATCAAGAATCTATTATGCCATATAGGAGAGCATGGAGGAAATCATGCCCGACCTTGCTCGAAGTTGAATTATTTCTCTCATTAGCTACCGATTTGTTGCTATTTATGACTGTAATACGTTCAATTTATTGTCGTTTTGATTGGTTATTTTTTATATGAAATTTAGCATTATTTTGGTCGACTGACACTGAAACTGCGTTTTCTTTAATTTTTTTGCAGGATTTCACCCACATTGGGCTTCATGTGGATTAATCAGCAACATTTGATGACTCTACTGCCCAATTGCGAAGTTTTTGTATCGTCAAAATGAATTTTTTGTTTTTTTTACTTTTGGCCCTTTGCCTAGTGGAAATCCACAGCCAGAGGAGTAGAACTTCCAACACAGTGAGTATAAAAGCCATGCATCATTCTATTAAATTGCCGGTTTGCATTGCAATTGTTAAACGTATGTATTTGGGATGATATTAGAATATCACGTGGGCGTTTCTAGAAAGGTTGCAAACTTCCATATGATTATTTCAAAAGTCGCATAATCGGAGAATGCTAATATGGAAAAGGTTAATTACAAGCTGGCGTATCCTCATATGGATCAAGCTTATGTAAAAACCAATGCGGATGTTTCAAAACAGTGAAAATCCAAAAATTATCATCAGAGTTCCTAAATTTAACAACAGAAGATTGAGCAGAGTGCTAAAGAATGATTTTAAACAGCAACAAAAAATTATTAAATTTTACGTCACTCTGTAGAGTCAATTCAATTTTTTGTCTTGAAACTTGTTCTGAAATAACAGCCAAGAAAGGAGCTGAAGAATACGGAAGAATTGAAGGCAAACATATCTTAAATTTTTCAATAAAAGGTTCCTTTCTTTCCTGCGTTTTTCGAACTTTAGTCCAAGTTCTCACTTGGGCTTAACTTGATGTTTTTTCAAATGTTTCGTTTTCTTCGAAACCTTCGTGCAATTTTCTGGATTTTTTCTGTTTTCACTTCGTGAACGCTTGCAATATTTTCAGTATCTTTCAATACTTTTTTTGCGTAGTTGTTCGGCAAAACATCCAAACAATGCTTGATGAAGCTTGTAAAATCTAACATATTTTCTTCCCCTTCGTTGTACTATTTTAAGTTACCTTTTGCTGATGAGCGTTTAATATTTTTATTTCACTTAGTTCTTATTTTAGTTTTATCTTTCATTCAATTAATTTTTTTATTAAAAATTAGTCCAAAATGTCTCACAAATGTGTATTTTATGGTCTAATCTTCCAGCTGATAGATTGTTAAGAAATGGCTACCAAATCGAAAGAACATTGAGTTCTCAAGGATTCTGTTCTAAAACAGCCAAAAAATGATGTCGATGTTTTCATTCCGTGTGTACATTTTTTGATTAAAATGTTCGACCGTGTTCTTCTGGGATTTTGTTTTTGACAATATTTTCCTTTTTCTGAGCGTTATGTCTGTTCTTTTCAAATACTGCGTTTCCTATTCGCTTTTCTTCAAAAATGTGTGCAAACGTTGCAGTTCGTGAATGTTTATGAATCTTTTCATTATAACCCGGCTACTTTTGGCGTGATTGTTTCATAAAGAACCCGAACAAAGCGTGGCAAGTGTGCCTCTAATTTATTGTTGATTAAATTTCAATGTCTCGTTTTCATTCGGTATCTTTTCTCAAATTTTCCGGTCTCTTTTCGTTTTTATTCGAAGCGTTATAAAAATATCTTGCACTTTTGTGACCTCATTTGATGAGTGCTTATTTTCATTACAATCAAACTATTTCTTGACGTAGTTCTCTATCGTTGAAATTGCTATTTATTATTCAACTTTACCTATCGCAACCAAATTTTTCCCGTTCTGAGCTTAGTGCTTATTGTGCATTTTCGCTTCAATCTGTTTTGGTACATGTTTTTTGTATATAAATAATATTTTCGTTTATATTTCCATATTTTCGGAAGTGAATGTTCTGTAAAGGATCTCAACTAAGCGGGAAAAAACTTGTTCAGTGTGTCTTAATTTAGTTTCCTCGAACATTTCCAGGTTTCTTCTCCTTATCATTTTTGGGAAATTTTTATGAATCGCATCCTTCATCTCTTACTTTATTATCCAACCTTCACCGTTGGAACATTGCGCTTGGTTTTCAAATAACTCATTTCCTTCTCATTTTCTTTTAACGCGTTTGGCAAATATTGCGAATGATTAATTCTTCTCTTCTTCTTTGATCGGCCTTTATGAATATTTTCGTTAAAATGAAGATAGTTTGTCAAGTGAGTTGCTCAATTATTTTCTTTGCAACTTGGAACTCTTCCTCCTTCCTTGCATCTCCAGCTCAATCGTTTAATTATTTTTTAGTTTCAGTTGAAACTCCTCTCACTTTACTAAACGAGTAGCAAAATTCTTCAATATCGGAAGCAAATCGACTATTGAAAAATCCTTGTCCCAAAAAAGCACGTCGATATCATGTCCAATAAGTGCATTAGCATTACCACAAGCTGACATACTTCGATAAATCTAACTGCTATTGTCTTTTAATTGATCTTACTCAATGTCTTTGTTGTTAGTTTTGGCCTGTTAATTTGCTCTTTGCAAAAACGAACACAAACAACATTAATACGATTAAAACACTTTATCCACCATCCCACATGGACGGCTAATTATAAATCCGATTGTATTCAATAAAATGTCACACAGCCAGAAGAACGAGAAAAAACCATCTGCTTTATCGTGTTTTTGAGCCTTGAGTGTTTGAAAACCGCACCTCAACGGATGGAATGCATCCGGTTAATCGGATGGAATTTTGAGAAATATGTGGAAAATGCACGTGATCGCCAAAGAAAGGCAATTTTTTTGCAGTATTTGCGGTCTTTCCTTTCTCTTCCAAATTAATACGTGCAGAACTCAATGTCAATGCAAAAATTGCCAATAAACAGCAGACAAAAACGCATGCAGAATGTTGCATTTTCAAGTTTTAATTGCAAATCGACGCCACGCCTTTAATGTTGATCTTTTTCTAGCACATGCCTTGGATCAGCTACCTTGTTGCAATCATATGGAATATAGGAAAAAAATAAATAGGCAAATTTTTATTCGTGATAAAAGAAGACTTTTTGGGAAATTTTCCTTATTGACAAATTAAAACGGCACAACAATGGTTCTTTCTCTTTTAAATTGCTACCTACATTTCACGACATGTAATTTGTACTTTGGCAAATAAACCAACTTTTTATACACATGAATCGCCGTGAGGAAACGTTCAAATAATTAGTTTTACATGACTAGAGAAAACCGCATTTTACGTGCCATGTTCTTGTTACAATATGAATGACCACAATGAAGAAAGCAACTTTAATCGTTTGAGTTTGACGCGTAAATTTCCAAATGTTTAAAACAACGGAAACTTTCCGAATGGGTGGTAGTTTGCGCCTAGCACCTTCCTGCTAATTGAGTGTGATTAGCAGCAGAAAAAGGTTGTTTTTCCAGTGAAAATCACATTAATTTATTGAAGAATCTTCTAATTTCGATATGATTCTGAAAAAGAACTTTCCAAAATTTGTCATTTTACCCAACATTACCATAGGAAGCGACCAGTTCAGTAACAGGTTTGTTTATTTAATTTCATGTACTTTATTCCACTTTCTTTGTTTGTGTTGTTCTTCAAAAACAATTTGTTAATGTCCACTGAATTCTTACTTTTTGCCAAGCCTTGCAGTGGCCTAGCTGATAATGATCGCAATTGTTCTAGTTAAATACAGATCATCTTTAGATAGAGCGTAACTGAGAATGTATAAATTATTTTAATTTTTCGTCGATTTCTCTTTATTTCGAACATAAAACGGCGCATAATTTTGTAATTTAAATCTGCTTTACATAATGGGATCATTCTACAGCGGCCCAGTCAAAGCTGGAAACTGAAGAAAAATTGCATTTTACAAATTTCGGATTCATTTCACAATCATCCGTTCAGGTTAATGTGATCATTAAGATGGATGTCGTCTATGATATGAGCATATTTAGAAACTCTCTAGTTCGATTGCTTTGATTAATTTAAACTCTCGCTTTTTTAATTGCTTTTTTATGTATTGAGAAACCGAAATAAATTATTGAGTCAGAACATGAAATATTAGAGTTTAATGCGATGTTTTCGGCATAAACAGCTTCTTAATATCGTGCATTTAGATGAATATCGCTTGAAATTGGCCAATACTTTGGAAATAGACGCGATATGTCCTGAAAATTTTGCTTCGTTGACGAATACAGAATGTTAAGGAGAAAATATCAAAATCGAGTTTACAAAAAAATCAACGTTGAATATTAGCTCTCAGGAAAAGTCGTGTAAATTCTATACCGGATAAGTTACAAGTTCGAAATTTTACTTATAGACACTTCTAAAAAGCGCAGTAATGACCTGTAAATCCTAAACTCGATGAGCTACAGATTCTAAATTTATTTCGTGGACACTTCTAACATGTGTCTGAATGACCTGAAAATTTCGTCTCGCTGACGTATCCAGGAAATTTAGGAAAAAAATATCAAAATCGAGTTTACAAAAAATGAACGTTGAATTTTAGCTCTCAAGAAAAGTCGTGTAAATCCTATACCGGATAAGTTACAAGTTCGAAATTTTACTTATAGACACTTCTAAAAAGTGCCTTAATGACCTGAAAAATCCAGAAAATGTAGGAAAAAATAATAATATTTTCTCGATTTTGATACGGTTCCCTATTCCTAGGCTATCCTTTATCTCTGTTTTTGTTTTTATATTTATCTATATTTTCCCTCGAACTAGAAGTAGGACCTAGCGGGTTGTGTTGTGAGGTTGTGAAAAAACGTTTAAAAATAATTGAAAAACGCACTTAACAAACTTTCGTTACCTTTGTTGGAGAAAAGGGCGAAAAAATGGATTTTTTGCAAAAAACAAGCGCAATGATCAAAACGAGAAATTTGCTGGTGAAGCACGAGATGAAAAATCCGAATGACATGAATTTGCAGAAACTGAATGAAAACGCTTTAAACAAATTGAAAACTTGAAAAGTAAATCACTTGATCACAATGAAATTATTGATAAAAAGGGCAAGTGGGAACAAAAAAAGCGCGAGAAAAAGCGAGACCAAGATAAAGATTGATTGATGGAAATATACAGAAACTAAAAGAAATGTCTTGAAAAGGATAAAGAAGAACCTTAATCTGGAAATTCCTAGGTTCTTGATCTGATTATAATGAAAGTGTAAAAGATACACCTTTATCAAAGGTTCTTTTCAGAATAACCACAACAAAGTTGCGTAATTGTATTGAAAATATTGATGAATACTGATAAAATGAAGAAAAAGGACACGATTGACCCTTCTTTGGAATTAGAAGTGGTTACTGTGTCCATCTCTGAGCTCGTTGTTACTCGAGG